CTAAGCTGCCTGCCATCCAAGCTGGTTGCAAGTGACCTGCTTTTTGGTTTGAAGATTCCTCACTTGGGATCAGCTGTCTCCTAAATAGCCCTGTGTAGAGAGGCTAAGTACACACATCTCACAGGACACACAGCCTGGCAGTGGTCATCCCCATCTGAAGCAAGAGCTGTTAGGTAAAGGACGCCCATGTTTGACCCCTCCACATGAGGCAGGTGCAGCAGTTGGCACATCAGGACAGAGGGCAGAGATGAGGAGGTAGGAAAGGAAGTGGGGAGGGCCACAGCGAGAGGGCACAACAGAGCAGTCTGCTGACCAGAGTGATGGCCTGCGTGTGGAGAAGTGATGAGCTAATTAATTTTTTTTAGAGAAGCAAGTTTGCTGCCCCCAGCCCACCCTTATCACTGCTGCATCCTCAGCAAGAGAAGCAGCTCCGTGTAAAGGCCCTGCTTACAGGGTGGCATTATCCACAGCTGTGCAGCCATTTATCTGTTGATAGACCCCTATTGTCGCTGGTTGGTGTTTGGCTCTCATGGAAGCGAGCAATTTGAGAAAATAAAAAATAAATAAATAAAGAGACAAAGCCTGATGCACTCACAGGGCTTGCAGCAGGAGCCAGCTGGAGAGCCAAGGCCCATGAAATATGCATCAGGGCCAACAAAGCGGGCTCAGCGCACGGAGGAGCATTCACCTCTTCAACAGTCGGGGGTCAGGCTCGGGGAGCCCCGCGAGCCTCCACTCGGAGGGACCTGTGAAGGTTGAATAACTTTAGAGGGAGCCCTGTCCCCAGGGGGGAAGGACGGGCAGTGTTCCTCCAGAGCCTCACTGCCTGCCCAAGCTGCGGGACTCAGGAAGCCGGGCTGCCGGGAGGCAGATACGTGGGACACTGGCTATGACGCATGGAGCCGAGGGCGGTGGGCTAGGGAGCTAACTAGGCTCCAGGAGAGGTGAGGAGGCAGCGGTCTCCGGCACGAGGACCAGGCTTGGGAGCCCCTGCCATGTAGTGTGAGCGTTCCTCTTCTACTGGCTCCCTTCTGAAGGATCCAGAGGCCCATTCCTCTCACTTCAAATGGGATGGTGCACAGGGCCACTATCCAGAGAAGAAAGCCTCAACTCACAGCCTGAGCTGTTAGGCTTTGACACCGCCGCCCAGATCGGGAACACGCCACTCCCGCCCTCCCCTCCTCCCAGAGTCCTCCTGAGATTGTAACGGTGTCAGGCTGATATCTGGATAAGCTCTTGAGGATCGGAGACCTGAGGCAGCTGCTGGTTTAGGGGCCTGGATCCTCAAGGATCCTTGAGTTTAGAAAGGCCAGGGAATCCACAGCAAGGAGTCATGAGTGACCACCCTAGTGCTCCTGCCAGGCTCGAGTGCCCAGAGGATGCCAGCTGATGTAGCTCCTTCAGCAGGCTGACAGGGATGGCCCCTTCAAAGTAACAACACGGCCTCACTGACCACAGAAAACAGGCCTGTCCTCTGTCTCCGAGATAGACTAGGACAAGGTAAGGGGGTTTGTTTGTTTTTTCCCTCACCACGGATCTGATCTTTCCTAACCACGGCAGGGGTATGAAGAGACTTCGAGGTGAGCACAAGGTAAGTCCTAGGCTTTAGCTGTTTATGTGACTACTCGTGGAACTGAGGGCCTGTGCATATCAAGCACTCGACCACTGAGTCACCCAAGTCCAAAGTCATAAACTTTTAAGTCAGAGAATCTGACTTTGTCAAAATGCCACACATTGCCACATACTCAAAGGAACAGCATCCCATCTTCCGACTGCTCGGGACGTGGCACAGAACAGCATGCTCATGAGGGGTCACACCAACAAGGCATCGTCTCTCATCACAGCAGCCACAGCTGGTTCAGTGAGGTGGAATGCACGGTCAGAGCAGAAGCCATCCTGGGCCAGAGGGGCCGGGACATCAGTCCCCTGTAAAGGCAGCACCTGGCCGAGGCCACACACCCTGAGGTCGAGCACAGAGGTCTATGCGGGCAGATGCCTGCTGTAGCCCTGAACAAAGGCAGAAAGTACCTTCTAGAAGGCAGTGGGCAGTGCCCACAGGAAGTTCCACCTGCTAGGCTGACATTCTCGGGCTACCAGCAGCAGCCCCAGATGCATGTCCCCCATGCCACACACATGGACAGTGGGCACAGCGGGCACAAATCACTGACTACAAGTGGGGCTTTTATTAGGGGGAGAAAAATCCCAACATTTAAAGTCAGGTTCTGGAAGCCTCACAGATAAATGGCTTACGACTTATAAGTATGAGCAAGCAAACAAAGTGTCTATGTATGAACTCAGCTCAAAATGCTGAGAGTATCTGTGTATTGTACACTACATACACATGTACACACACGTGCATGGACAGAGACAGAGTCAGTCTCTCTCTCTCTCTCTCTCTCTCTCTCTCTCTCTCTCTCTCTCTCTCTCTCTCTCTCATCGTTACCATCTCTAGCTAGGAACCCAGTTTCCCCGACGATGGACTAGGATATCGAAGGCAATTAGCCATCAGCAAGGTGATAACAGACTCAGAACTGACAATACTGGGGCCAAGCAGACACCCCATGGGGGGCTGTGGCCGTGGACGAGCCCATACAATCTAGGCCTAGGTGTGGAGGTGAGATCTCAACATGGGCATCCTCCTGCCCCCACCTGACACTTCTCTTTGTGGGCACTTTCCATTCACTGACAGAAACCACAGGTGTGTGGCTTTGCCTCTTGCTTCAGGCACAAGGGCCTGGCGGCCATCTGCCAGACTTGGTTCTCAAGTCTTGAGGACCATCTTTTCATGACAACCAAAAGCAAACCTGACCAGACACGACATCACAACAGGGTTCAGTTGCCAAAGGTGCCCGAGCGGGTTCTCAGTGCCCTTGCACGAGGGCAGCTCCAGGCACTGGAGTGCAGCTGGGTGATGTGGGCCCCCCGGCCAGCTGGGGGGAGACACTGAGTGCCAGAGCGGGCCCGTGCCCTTCGCATGACTGCTGGAGGAGAGCAGACTCGTCTTGGCCCTGGCAGCATCCACTCTGCCTGCCATCTGGTGGAGTCTCAGGGCATCTCGGACTCTCAATCCAGGGGGCCCGGCTGGTGATCTCTAGGGAATGAGGGCCCACACTTGCTCTGGGGCTCCAGAGCAGCTGCTATGAATCTTAGCCCCATGATAACCCTACACTGGCATGCACCCCTCTTACCTCTCAGAGTCTATCCGAGCCACCCCCATCCCTGAAGCCCTGGGTATAGCTAGCTGTCCCAGGCTGGCTGCCGATCCTTTCAGTTTTAAGTGTGTCTCAGGAAAGAGCTCTCTGCAGACAGCATCAGCCGAAGAAATTTGAGCCACGGTGGTTCAGGTGAGCAGCAGCTTGCTGTGTAGGTGCTAAGCAGCTACATCTCACCCTCACGCAGCTGTCCTTCCTGCCCCGACCCACCCTCTCCTCACAATGATTCTGCCGTTTTCTAAAGAGCAGGTGTTCCTGAGGCCCACTGTTTAAGGACGCCTGAGAGAGAAGAGTCGCTGTGACGTAGCTGTTAGCCTTCCATCTACCCTCCTTGGCAGAATCCATCAATGCACAGAGGCCTGGGACTGCTCAAGCCGGGCAGAGGCAGGTGGCCTGAATGTGCATTGTTACCTGAGCTGAGGGTGGGGTGGGCAGGGCAGAGGCTCAAGAGCCAGGGAAAGTGTGGTGATTACAGACATTTCAACATGTAGGGCGGCAGAGGCAGGGCCAGTTAAGGGGGACTCTTGGGCCAGCTTGAGGAGGCCTGTGGTCAGGGGAGATAAGACATCTGGTCAGGTCAGGGGATGAAGGTAATCCTTCAGAGAAGGCTGACCACAGAAGGAAGAGTCCAGAGAAAGGCACTGAGACAGCTCCAGGGCAGGCAAGAGACCGCGGACCCCCACCCCCAACCAGGGAAGGGGTGAGAAGTGTTCCTGGGACAATAGAACATTTCATGACATCACTGGCTTTTCAGACAAGCTCAGAGCCACCAGGTCCCACTCGCCTGCTCTCAGGAACACCAGCAAGCATTTTTCCCTTGGTGGAGGCTAAGGTTAGTAAGGGCAGGCCCACAAAGACCTTAACAGCTACCTCTGCAGGGGTGGACTCCAGGGAGTGCTGGAGCACCTGCCAGCAAGACGTCAGCAGGGTGAAGGAAGGGACGCAAGGGAGGACACAAGACTCCCTGCCCATTCGCCTTTCCCAGGGTGACAGCACCTAACACCCAGCCAGTCTCTGGGATAATCATTTCCTTTCAGGTCAAAATTCCATTTCCTATGAATCTTAAACTTCTCTTTGGCTGAGGTTCCTTACGATCAGTTCTTAGCTCGTCTTCTTTTCTTTTTTTAAAAAAAGATTTATTTGTCTTTATTTTATGTGCATTAGTGTTTTGCTTGCATGTATGCCTATGTGAGGATATTAGCTCCCCTGGAACTGGAGTCACAGACAGTTGTGAGCTGCCATGTGGGTGCTGGGAATTGAACCCAGGTCCTCTAGAAGAACAGTGCTCTTAACCACTGAGCCATCTCTGAAGCCCCCCAGTTCTTAGCTCTTAGAACCCTCAATGAGAGAAGAGAGCATCCTCCTCTTGTCCATGCTTGCTAAGTTAAGAGTCATGTATAGAGTTGAGAACCACCTTCCTGGAGTTGAAGCATCGCATTACCTAAGCACACAGGGCTCCAGGTGGCTCCAGCACCTGACAGCTCAACATTCCCACAGGCCCAGTCTGTGAGAATTACTGCTGTGCTATCCCAAGCCTCTCTTTAGTAAAACCACATGACCCCTCTGGATGTCCCCCAGGGACAGAGCTATGGGGAGGAGCTGGAACCAGCAATTAGGAGCAAGGCACATACATCCAGGCTGAGCTCCCTCCTGGGAGGGTACTGGCAGACTCTCATGGGTGAGGCCCAGACACGTTAGCCTCTAACCCCAGTCACAGCCTTCAGCATCGATCCTGTCCAAGGCTGCCCCCGGTACGGCGGGGAAGAACCCGCTAAAAGATGACCTCACCTTTGTCTCCTTCTCGTTTCCCTCTGCGTGGATGATGTAGGGAGAACCCTTCTGCGGGTTTTCTGAGACGATGCGTACCTCCACTCCTGGCAGTGGGGTCCCCACAGAACCTGTGAGAAACGAGAAGGGAGGTAGGAATTGGATAGTTGCATGCTTGGGTTTGGGACATGCTTCCTCGTGTATATGGGACACTGGGATCACTGTCGGGAGTGGATCACATGCTTGGTGACTGCAAGGAAAGATGTGCGGAGGGTGGCAAACGGTGCATGTGAGCAGCCGGCCAAAGGCCGGCCCAAACCTCACTGACACACTATGGTAGCTGCTGCTGCACGACCAGAGACACTCGCTGCTGCTCATACGGCCTGGAACTGCCACAGTGGACTCTTCACTGCTCCTGCCTAGTCGAGGAGAGCAGGCCGCCCAGCTGGATGTGTGCAGGAACTGACTAACGCAGGCCACTGGTGCGTCCCAGAAAGGGCGGAGGTGGAAGCGGGTGGGGTTCCCTGTAAACTGGGCTGCCCCATTTTTTTTTTTTAATTACACTTCCTCCTGCAAGGGTGAGACAGAATCTGGCCGGTAGGGATGTGTCCAGAAGCCCCCCCACTCCTGGGCAATGCCCTGTGCTGAAGCATCACTCTGCTGCTGGCCTGGGGGCCCCCGAGCTCACGTGCCTTGGGGCCAACACGTGAACAGCAGGAACAGAGTGGAGAGCAGACAGGTCACCACACCCAGGAATGAGGCCAATGTCCAAGCACACCTTTCTCCTGAGAATTCACTTTATAGTTTCAGGGTCTTTATTTTAAGCACTGTAGCTAATGGGGGTCTGTGACAGGACAAGTTTTCCAAGTGGCAACTTAGTGAACCACACACACACACACACACACACACACACACACACACTTTGCACCCTGGGTTCAGCTTCCTCGTGAGGTGACTGCACTGTCCCTGTTTTAGGTAGGATCCTCCATGGCGGGGGTTCCTCGCAGAGGGTCAGGAGGCATGCATGGTGATGGAGCAGATGCTCTAGGGCGTTCTCGGCTCCAGGTGTGGAGGGGCCTAGGCCTCCCCTCTAGAGTGAGTCACCACCACAGTGAGACAGCTAAGCAGCATCCTTCCTGCTCTGACTTCGGGGTTCTAAGACTTTAAAAATCAAGGTGACCATGTGTGGCATTATTAATCATTTCAAAATGCAGTGAGGATCCATGAAACTGTGGCCTCTGCTCTGTGGTAGAAAGGGGACAAGGGGAGAGGGCGGCTGTCACCTCGAGGAGGTGCTTCTGGCCCTGTAGTCTGCTGCAGAGGACAGTGTCCTCTGTGTCCCTCTCACCAGAGTGCAGGTGGACTGGGGGTCACACGTAGGGCACTGGGAATGGAAGGGGACAGCTGTGGGGCAGCCGGTACCTGGCAGGCGAGCCTCCGTCAGGGGGTTGGACAGGGCCATGCCAATCTCCGTCATGCCATAGCGCTCCAGTAGCGTGTGGCCCGTGGCATTCTTCCACTTCTCCAGCAGGGGGACGGGCAGGGCAGCCGAACCTGACACCATCAGCCTGGGCAGCAGGACCACAAGGGGCGTACTTAGCTCTGATGGGGGCAGCTCACACGCACGCACACTTCCTTGTGAGTGCGCAGACCGGGTGCGTGGGATGGTTCTCTCCCATCTCTGTACTCAACAGTCATGATAAAGGTGAGTTTTTAAAGAAGTTTCTTTTCAGTGTGTTTCTGTAAATTCAAGCAGGCCTTTCAAAGGGATGTTAGCTAAAGCAGCATCTTTGGTGATACCACCAATAATTACGATGCTGCTCACCAACCTAAACAAGTGATCACGACAGGATGGTGGCGATGGTTGCGTGCCTCATGGAGGAAAGGCCACAACACTGCAGGAGGTAGGTGCTGTGTGAGCAGAGCTGCTGAAGCTGGAAGACACACGGGGGTGGGGGAGGGGAGGCGAGGGAGGGGGAGGGGACCGGCAACTGGAGGCTACAATGGCAGAGGCGGTGGGTGGTGCTCAAGTCCCTAAGCTGCTTTCTGCTACAACCCCATGGCCTGGCACCTGCAGAAAGGAAGGTCCTTTGTGTGTCATCTAAACTGAAGCAGGAACCAGCCCCATCCTCCTCCAGAGGTGTATGGCCAACAAGAGCCCCGACGTCTCATTCGTCTGCTGAGGATTCTGTATTTCAGAAACGGCAACTGTGCCTGTGGTTCTTTGGGTCTGGTGGGATCTACTGATCCTTCCCCAGCTCTGGTTCCTGAGCACTGGGTGCCCCCGAGTGCTTCAGCTGACAGGCCTGGGTAGGGGCCCAGAGAGGCAGCCATCAGCAGCAGCTTCTGAAGCAGGGCTCTGATTTCCTCAAAGCATTTGGAAAGGGAGCGTAAGAGCAGAGCGAAAATGCAATGCTAACACATTTGTCTCAGATAATCCAGAAGTCTCTTAGGGATACAAGGCACTGCTCCCTGAGCCCAGATGTGTGGCAGGAAC